GGCCTGTTGGATAATTTTGATTCAATTTTATTTTAAGTTCTCTATCGAATTCAGTTTATCTTCTTTGTCTACCTGAATGTATACATTAAACATTAATTGGTTTACATCGTTTCCATCATTAGATTGTCTCCACAAACTTGGTTGGTTCATTGATCTGCACAAAAGAAGCCATGCACGTCATGCGATCTCAGGGCAAGGGAGGCCACATATTTAACATGGATGGAGCTGGTTCTGGGGGATCAAGCACTCCACTGACAGCTGTGTAAGTTTTATTTGTCTGATTCCTGGGTCTATGCTTATGAGTAGGAGCCTACTTATTATCTAGGATGAGACTATTATCATCAACCATTGCCATTCTCTATGCAAAATTTAAGGCCATTAAAGTGGATGTTTGACACCAAAAGCACCATTGGATGTCTCATATTTGTGAAATATTTTGAGAACATGAAACAAGAATATACAGTTTTGTATTGTACAGAAAATTTCGGTGATCTTCGTTTTTCTTTATCTATCTCGTACAGTATGAAGGAGAGTGAAGTTAGAATATCCATTGCAACGTCCTCGCTTTTATTTTCTGGAGATAATTCCACTGCATAGAACATTGGGATATGCTTTTTTTTATGCCTCTTTGATATGTTAATCTTTTTCTTTTAAGTAGTAAACATCAAATGCTGATTTTGCATATCCGAAATCTTGCTATTCTTTTTTAGGTATGGTTCAACAAAGTGTGGGCTAAGGCAGCTTCAGGCTTCACTTCTGAAAGAATGCAAACGGTCCAAGGTTGGGGTACACACTGCATCTCCGGGAATGGTCCTAACTGATTTGCTTTTAAGGTAACAATAGACTGCCCTTATCATTCTGACTTGGATTATTGTTTTAGAGAAAGTAGTATTGAACATAACCACTACTTAATTTGATTGTTCATTGTTGAAATAGGGATATTTCACTATATAGGTCCCCATACTCACTATCACCAGTTAGATTAGTCAAGCCAGATTAGTTGAGCCTGATATCTGCTCTAGTGACTAGTTGGCATTCCTATTAGGTAGAATCCAAAGCCTACTATATCATATTTCTCGAGGACAAATCTATATCATGATAAAATAAAAGCTAAAGAACTGTTAGAACATAAAATTATAACCCTCAACCCTCACCACAACTTCGGCGGGTGTAGTGGGAGGGACTTCAGACGCTGATGAGTGCATTGAACCATCACACCCCAGGCACAACAGAACAATTATCAGGGGCGCACTCTACCACTGAGCTAATAGCCCCTTGTGCAGGCATCCCAGTGGGATGAGTGATATCTAAAGCCGACAGAAACCTCATCTCCCCCCCCCCCCCTCCTCCTTTTTGCACCCCAGTTCCTTCCGTGTGGTGACATGAGGACGTAAAAAATGGGATCCTATCACTTGTAAGATGTTATCAGAGTCGCTTAGCTTCTACCAGCCATAGATTTCTAAAGCAGATTTTTTAAAAAAGCACCGCTCCGTGAATACAGGTTTTCGTCCCATGAGAGGCCTTTAACCTACAGGCGGCATGTAAGAATATAAATTATACCACTCCGCAGCTTGTGGGGGGGGGGTGTCTGGGCTTTGAGAATTAACTTCTAAGACAATCTCTCTTGCATTATACATTTAAATTATTGTCCATGTAAAGCTATTCTGTTGAGACCAATGAGTAATATAAACATCAAGGATGGCAAAAACCATAATTTGTTGACGGGAAATTAATTTTGTAGTATAATGTGGAGTTATGTAATTTGAACCCAGTTTAGTTCCTGAACTGCAAAATCTATCAAGGCCAGTTCTCATCCAGTATAATCCTTACTATAGTCCATCCATTATCATATCTGCAGACAAGCATGCTGCATTTATCTTGTTGAAAAGGAAGTGTCCTTGTGTTCAACTCAGCTACTCATGTGTGGTTCAACTAATTTCGACAGCACAAAAATTGATCTGTCAATGTCATCCTTGTGCACATAAAATAAGCAATTCTTAGCATAAAAAAGTACTAGTATGGTTATCGTTTTTTACCCGGGAGAAACCCAGTACAGTTATGAATAATCTCTTACCTTGAACTTGCAGTGGTTCTACTCTTAGAAATAAGCAAATGTTCAACATAATCTGCGAGCTACCTGAAACAGTGGCAAGAACATTGGTTCCAAGAATGCGAGTCGTAAAAGGAAGTGGAAGGGCAATTAATTACTTGACACCTCCACGGATCCTGCTTGCTTTAGTCACAGCATGGCTTCGTAGGGGTCGATGGTTTGATGATCAGGTAATTTTTGGCATTTAAATTGTTCCTTTGACTGTCCAAGTTATACAGAAAAAAATAACAGAATATAACAGAGAGACAAGAGACTGACATTGTGGGGACCTAATAGAAGGGCAAATTTCAGAAAATCCCAAGAAGTTGGCCCATAGTGAGAAACACCCAAAAAGTTTGGAAACGTCAGTTCCCCAAAGGCCAAAACTTTTCTAGATAACCCCAAAAGCTTGGGGGTTATCTGAAAATAGATTCAGAAAAATGCAAAATTTTTGGGGGTTGGGTGACATTTGCTAACTTTTTAAAGGGTTATCTCAAAATGGGCTAAACTTCTTGTCGGTTTTATGAAACTTACATTTAATAAAAATAGCATAAATTGTTGTCATAGTATGCAAATATTAGTTTCTACAAAAGGAGAATCTTCGGCCTTCATTTCTAGCAGTCCTGGAGAGAAGGGTAAACTTATATTATAAGCCCTTACAATTCAAAGGGTCACCAAAATGTGATGGTCGATGATAATTTTCAAAATATGAAAGATTTGTAGAGGAATAAGGAAAGAAAATTTATAATCACAGAGTTGAAAATATTTACATTTTCCTTTTGTAGGGGAGGGCGCTGTACGCAGCAGAGGCTGACAGAATCCGGAACTGGGCAGAGAGTCGAGCCCGCTTCTCCTTCACAGATGCCATGGAGATGTATGCAGAGAACACCTGGGTCTCCGTCTTCTCGCTCTCTGTTGTCTGTGCTTTCATAATTCTCTCAAGTTCAGGCAGTGCATTTCCTGGAACATGATTCATTTTTCGGGATATCTTCAGTTGGGAAAAAGAAGAAAAAAATCCTTCTACATCACACACAAGTAGCAAAAAACTGATCGCCAATATTTATCACGCTCTGCCTTGTAAACTAACGTTGTAGATATCCAATCAGGCTGGCAATCCAAGGAGATCTTAGTAGTTAAGTACATGGGGTCGGAATTCCCACCCCCTTGTAAGGATCTCCTTGTAATTTTTCTTACAAGAATCCAATTCATACGACCTCAATTCTTGTCATGTGTATATAGTTTGCTGCTTAGCTCGAATGGTATCATAATTTTCTTTACTTTGTTACATGCAACTTTGGTTTATGAGTTCAGTACCATCTCTTTTATTATTTCATATTGCAGTGCTAGTAGGACCAAAGCATTGATAAAATTAAAATTACTAAAGTTATCTAAACATGATAGAAATTCAAATACTTGATCAAAACATGTTTGGAAACTGAAAATATAAACTACATCAAACGTAAGCGTAATTGATTAAACTAACCTCCAACCATCGTTGTCTTACTCAAGGATATGGATGTTGATTTCGAAGATCTTCTAAACCTTATCTCTTCACTAAACGATGGTGTATATTTCTTTCAAATTTTTTTTTTTGAAGAGCGTGTATAGGGACCCCAAATATATGTATATATATACTCTTTTTCTACTCTCTCCATCAAAGAGCAATAAATGGAATTAGTGGGCAAAGTGGTTGGTTAAGTCATAATCAACTCTCTTGATGATGGGAAGTTATTGGACCACTTTGTGGCAACCGAAACCAACATTCTCCCACTTGGTCCAAACATTCCATCATCCATCTTAATGAAAAACAAAATACATGAATCATGGCTATAGGTTCTCTAATGTTGAGTAGTATCTTCCATGTATCACAATGTATCGTGTCTCTCAATCCCAAATGACTTAATGAATAAACCCTATGTTTATTCGAGGTCCAAACTTTAATGATATTTCTCAATAAAATAAACAAATATGTATGTGCACAAAAACAAATGAGAAATATCAACTGAATAAGAGTTTCAACAAAATATCAAATGTACGTACAATGAATATTTACATCATGGAACCAAGTCCCATTCTTACTACATGATCCTTAAAATTCTTTGGTGGCATGCCTTTAGTCAAAGGATCAGCAATCATAAACTCAGTGCTAAGGTGCTCAATGACCACTTTCTTTTCCTTAACACGTTCTCTAATGGCCAAGTATTTGATGTCGATATGCTTACTACGACTACCACTCTTGTTATTCTTAGCCATAAAAACAGCAGCTGAGTTGTCACAATACAATCATATTGGCCTAGAAATTGAATCCACAATTTTAAGCCCCGACACGAAACTCTTCAACCATACACCATGTGACGTAGCCTCAAAACATGATACGAACTCGGCGACACGAAACTCTTCAACCATACACCATGTGACGTAGCCTCAAAACATGATACGAACTCGGCCTCCATTGTGGAAGTATCAGTCAAAGTCTGCTTTGCACTCCTCCAAGACACGGCTCCACCGGCAAGCATGAAAATGTATGCTGATGTTGATTTGCGTGAATCAACACAGCCAACAAAATCCGCATCAGAGTAACCAACCAACTCCAAATCGTCGGTCCGTCTATACATGAGCATGTAATCCTTTGTCCCTTGAAGGTATCTCATCACCTTCTTTGCAGCTCTCCAGTGGTCAATACCTGGGTTACTCTGATATCTTTCTAGCATTCCAACAGCAAATGCTATATCAGGTCTTGTACAGACCCGAGCATACATTAGGCTTCCAACGACTGAAGCATATGGAATGTTTTTCATCTGTTCCTGCTCGAGCTCATTTTTAGGGCATTGATTTAGGCTGAATCTGTCACCCTTCACAATAGGTGCTACATTTGGTGAACAATCCTTCATCCGAAATATCTCTGTAGGCTGTCTAAAAATCACAATAGATAGCTTATTCAAACAAGCTCTGACAACGGAGGTCACAATCAGACGACTTCCCAATCACTGTATCCGCAACTCCACAATTGCCACAAACGCGACCTCACCTCTGAGATGATTGATCTTGACGGCTGTGACAACAGCATGGCTAATATCGTAGCAATTATTAGAGATGCTGATGAGCAGTGGGACGATTTCAGAAATAAAAAGTTGGACTCAGTTGGTGAGTTGCTTGGTAGAGAGCTATGGGCGAATATTCATCTTTAAGACACTATGGATGTTGATTCCCGTCTAGCTCCTACAACGAAAGCTACAATCAAATAGCTTTCGGGTCGGTGATCGAAAGCGGCAAATAGAGGACTTCTTGGGAGAGAGCTATGGGCGAATATTCATCTTTAAGACACTATGGATGTTGATTCCCGTCTAGCTCCTACAACGAAAGCTACAATCAAATAGCTTTCGGGTCGATGATCGAAACATATAGTCGAATAGTTGCTTGGTAGAGAGCTATGGGCGAATATTCATCTTTAAGACACTATGGATGTTGATTCCCGTCTAGCTCCTACAACAAAAGCTACAATCAAATAGCTTTCGGGTCGGTGATTGAAAGCGGCAAATAGAGGACTTTTCACATAGATCGAGAAAGGTTACAATTTAACGACACTTCCGACAACTGATGAAAACTCTATGTAGCAGTCTTCACAATTTACAGTGAAAGTTACAATCTGACGGCTTTCACACCCCACAACAGCTAAAGCCAGGATTACTGAACAACG